AAAGTTAAAAGTATGGTGATTTGATCATGTTAAAAATAAATAAATATTAAAATTAGCAAATGCATCACTTTAAAAAATAAATAAATGAAAAGATGAACTAAAAGGTCTGGATGATAACCTGATACAAACCCTACTCTTAACCCTAGATATATCACCAGTAACCTGGCGTTAAGAGGTTAGTCTGACCGTTTTTAGAAATGTACATAAAAAAAGCATATATCCACAACCAATATTGTAAGCAGTATCATCCTAATATACAGATCCAAAGAAATACAGTAAATATGCCGAGGAGTCTACTATCTTGTTCCAACATCTGGTTTTAACAGAAGTCCACGTCTGGGAGGAAGGTCGCCATGTAGATTGTTCAATCAGACAAGACCTGGCAGTGCCAATATCAAGTACCTTACTACAGTTCTCGCCAATGTGGTCCTGTAAATTATCTTCATTCAATATTGAAAAGACCTTCAGATTGTCCAGTTTCCTGAAATAACTGCAGTAGTCCTGTAGCAAATGTATTAAAGAAAGTAATAATGAGATTCTAATGGTTTCTTTTTTTGATATTTTATAAAATATTAATACATACATTGGTTTTACAAAGTTTTTGTTTTTTTTAACAGAAGATCAGAGAAAGACCGATAACCAGTGAAACAATAACTAATTAGGTGTCTGAACATGCTGCACAAGTTATAACACTACATAGTCACTTATTACTTTTTTGGTCATAGTTAGATTAGTTAGTTTTATTCGTATTTAACAAAAATAAGAATGAAAAGTGTTACACAACCAAAATCTACCAGAAGCAGATACTTTTGATATCTTTGTTTTTGGACACACAACCGCAACAACTCATATTGGAAAGTTTTCATGTCCGTTTTCTGTCTGCTTGGTAATGACTCACATTTATGAAGTTCATTCAGGCCGGTACATCCAGTCCCATGAAAAATAAAAGAACTGTGAGCTGAGAGCATGTTAATGACATAAAAATTGAGTGGTTTTGTTTTGATAGAATACTATCCAGTACATGTTGATTTTATTGAGTCAGTTCTAGTTTAACAACCCAAAGTTAAAGTGGCTCAGGAGATATAATCTGTACGAGAAATAACACCTTGTATCCTTAAAGTCTAATTTGTGTTCCCTCGTGATGCCTCATTAAAAGAAAAAGTTATGCATTACAATTAGGAGACAGGGTTGAAACCAAATGACGGCAGTATGCGTCTTCATTTGCCCTCCTAAGCCTTTGGCTAGCGATGTTCACTGACCTGTCACAGTCAGCCTGGCTCACCTTCTCCAACAGGGCCCGACAGCTGACACTAGCGCTCCCCTCCTCTTCTCTTCCTAATGTGTTGTGATAAGGAGCTTATGTGAGGTTTCCAAGGCAAGATTACCCCCTCAAGGTATTTTAACAGTCTGCCGTATGTGGGCGTACGTTTCATGATCACTTCCATGCAAAGGTGACGCTAGCAAGCAAAGATGTTGACCAGGAGAGGGGGGTGGGTGATGTTTACACGTTAACCTGGTCTGAAAGACAAAGCTCGGAGAGGCCAAAGCCTGAGGACATGACAGAAGTGATTTCCATTGTTTTTCTGACATGCAGGGACATGTGGTAGCCTGTAGCTGTTGCAGGGATCAGCTGTCCGCATGCTTTTTGATTGCATGAGTCTGCCAGCAGGCTTTGCTGAAGTGAATGCAGTTATTGATTTTAATTGGGTGCATGCCCTTCTGAACCCCCCAAAAATAAATACCAAAAGCAGATGTGCCGATCCGGTGAAGTGCTTTCTCGTGATCCTACGTCAGTAAGACACAATGGAAAAGGATATTCTAGCATCCTAATCTTTGACAGCATTTCAGCAGCAATCAGTTCCACATGCAAGCAGTGGCACTAATACCACGGAGTTTACATCGACAGATTGTGATGGTTTTCTTCTTTGTCTATATGCTTCGAGCAACTGGCTTCTACGTGAGTGTGTTTCGTGGAAATGCGTGTGCGTCTTGATGCAGACCCCACATGTGTAGCATGCTGGCATGTGAGCGCTGATCCCCTGAGCTCAGACTCTAAGATGTCGATAGCCAACCTGTAAATGACAGGCACAGAGGGAGTGTGTTTAGCAGTTTTGCTGGATCTTAAAAAGGTCACATACGCACACACAGACATGCACAAAGTCACATACACACATATATAAAAGGACATGCCAAGATGACCCCCTTTGTCACCTCCATCTAGGACCAAATTACTACTTTGTGCAGTATTTTTTTTAAGCTTGCTGAAGTTTCGGTTACTTTTAAAGCAAATCCATCATTCATATTGTTCTAATAGTATCTGGTTACGACGGGAAACTCTCAAACTTTGCAGCTGCACCAAACCAAGTTGCTGCCATCTTGGGAAGACACTCCAGCTCAAATTTGGTGGATTTGACTACAACTGAAGGATTATGACTGGTCTGTCGGCTGAGAGAAGTCTGTGACCCATTGGGCCTATAAGAGACTTTGAAAACTCACTGGATAAAGAAATCAATTAAAAACTTCATTTTCATACAAATAGAAATTAGAAACATAAAACCTGTTTTTCGAAGAACTTCCTTCCCTCCTGTGGGGTTCTAAACACTGAAACGTATAAGTCGACTGAGGCTGCATATTACACACAGTTTTAGTGCTGGAGGCGATGGAGCAGTGGCCAGATACCACTTGTTGATTTGGGCTCTAATGTTCATAGAAACAGTGTGGCTGTGGTTTTGCTGTTCTGTGGGAGTGATTTTGATTCGTTTCAGTAGATCAATTCATGGTGATGAAACTGTAGAAATACATTAAGTTTCTTTCTCAGCAATGCTGGCTGTGAGGCTCAACAGTGTCATTTGGCTGAGTGACTGTGAAACCACTTTCTAGTCCAGGATGCAATTTTTCAGCAGCTGCTGTGTGGACTGACTGTCACGTGTCAACAAGTAGTTGCCGGGATGAAGCAGAGTAGTTTGGGTGATTCCTTGACTTTTCAGTTAAATCCTTGATTGTTTGTTTGCCTTAAGCACACACACCCAGAAACTCCAAAAAAAGTTTAACACAAACGAAAAGAAAAAAAGTAAAGATTGAAAAAACACTTTGTGCTGTCTGTCTTTTATTCTTTTATACACTTTCTCTGCACATCTTCACCTCTGTGCACTCTTTCCTGCCTCGAGAAGTCTGAAATATCATTACTTTTATAGTGATTAAAATATTTACCGTTAGAAACACAACGGCTGAGAATGATGAGCTGTGGTGGAATTTTTTTAGAGCTGTTCCTTTACTAAGTACCGATGCTACACAGGGCGATCGTGGCTCAAGAGTTGGGAGTTCGCCTTGCAATCGGAAGGTTACTGGTTCGAGCCCTGGCTCGGACAGTCTCGGTCGTTGTGTCCTTGGGCAAGACACTTCACCTACTGGTGCTGGCCAGAAGGGCCGATGGCGTGATATGGCAGCCTCGCTTCTGTCAGTCTGCCCCAGGGCAGCTGTGGCTACAACTGTAGCTTGCCTCCACCAGTGTGTGAATGGGTGGATGACTGGGTATGTAAAGGGCTTTGGGGTCCCTAGTGGGGACTAGTAAAAGCCCAACACAAATACAGGCCATTTACCATTATATACACAGTTTATTATTGCTAAAAAAAAAGAGAGAGAGAGAGAGAAAAGTAGCTATTCTTACAGACAAATGGTCTCCACTTCTCCCCAGTCTTTTATAGATTACTATTATTGCTGCTGATGTTTAAAGTTGAGCTCTTTATTATTTATTTTTTCAATGTGTCACATTCTATAAAGTCAAGTTTACAGTGTGTCTAAAACGAGCTTTTAATAAACCTAGAAAACCAGACCTCCGCATTGATTAAATACACCATATTAAATATATTAATAGAATGTAAAAAAATAAAATAAAATCTCAGCTGAATGAAAAGCCATGAAATAAAAAGTCTACAGGGGGGGTTAACATCATTAATGGAAAACTGAGGGGGTGTATTTATCAAAACCGTGGACTAAACTTTACTTATCTGGTTAAAAGTCATCACTTATAGATTGTGGTTGAGCCTGTTCAGTCTCAGTGGCTGGAGTTGAGGTTCCCGCTCAGTCATCAAGGCTTTCACTGGTAATATGTTAAAGGAGTTTTTATTTTCTAAATGTATTTTTGATACTTTCTTCACACTCCAATCTAACTCCTACATCGAATATGTTAGCCAAGATGGCTTGCAAGACAAAACTTTTTCTGGTAATTTACACATTTACTTGTTACACATATCTGTGCATGAGTACAATAACTCATAGCAATGAAAAGAAGAGCAAGGGACAGCTTGTTTAAATTCAATTCATGTTCATTTTATTTAGAAAGCACCAAATCACAACAACAGTTGCCTCAGGGCTTTAGCATGCTGGTTTTCTCTCAGAGACATCAGCACTGATGCCACCAGTGCTAGCTACCTTTTAGGTAGGGCTAAAATCCCACATTTTCTTGTGTGTTTAGTGTTTACGCGTGACAACTTCTCATCTCCACTGTAAAAGAATTTAGTAAAATATGTGGTCAGAGAATTGTGGCAAGTTCCAGATGTTCACAAATGCAGTAGCTAGCATAACAATCATAAGATGCTGTAAACATCCTTTTTGTTAAATGTACAACTCAGAGTGTTCGATTTGAGACGTTTTCCTCTTGAAACTCACTGTATGTGTGCACTGTGTGAAAGACTACATGAGAACTCCACTTGTAATTTTGCATTTATGTTATTTTCACTCAATTTTTGTTGATGTTGAATGATGAAAACAACTTGCTTAGGTTTAGGAGTAGATAACGCTGTGACTTAAAGTCAAGCATTGCAGCATTCGCTCAGTTCCCTGGCGGACTACTCGTGCCCTTATATACTAAAGTTTTGTCACTGGGGACCAAGGGACCTACTAAACAATTAGCTCTGGCTCAAATTCCACTTCTGGTGTAAAAACATGCAGTATAACAGTAATGCAGTACTAATGCATGCACATTTTTTTTTTCTTTGCAGTGGTTGAGCGGTTTTCCTTCTCTGATGTCCTCCCCGAGCACTGGAAAGAGCACAGATCGAGCCAGCACAGACAAGTAAGTGAGAACATTTCATAAAAATCAATATGAACCAATGTTAAATTATGACATGTTACAGTAGACAGTAGTATAGCAGCTCTTTATGTTGCGCTTGCACTTGTGGCATCACCTGTGTGTGGTGTCACTGGTGCCGCAGCTCTCTTGTTTTTTTCTTCTGTTTGTTTCTTTTCTTTTTTATCTTTCTCCACCATCCTCCCTCCATCTCTGTGCTGCCAAGCCTGAGCTTGGTGGAAGAAGAACAGAAAAAAAAACAAACTGAGAATGAGAAAAAGAAAGAGCGAAAGAGGGAGGGAGATCGGATTTCCATTCCACATTGGATCACTGGAGTGGAGTCTAAAACCACAGAGTGCGCTGGCACTGGACAAAAAGGCTGGATTCAATAAATATGTGGACTAAGCCCTCCTATTCAGACCCTGCAGTATTGAGTTCCTTATTTAGGTCATTTAGACTGGGCAAAATTGATACAGTATGCAGCTCAAATCTATAGCTCTATTTTTTTCGTCTCCTTTTCTCTCTGTCTTTGCCCTTCTAAATAAAAAAGAGATGAGAGGGAATCCAGTGTGTGGGAGTGCAAGAACGGCAGCTAGAGAAGGAGCAACAGAAAAAAAAATAGGCAGGGGGATTTTTTCTTTTCTGTGCAACACTGGGAATGTTTGTGTATTTTGAGAAGAATGACAAAGACAAAAGAGAAGCAAAAAATTAGGCAGAGTTCACGCAAAGGAAAAAGAGATTGAATGAAGGAGATTAAGACAGTGATCCAAAGACAAAGTGTGTGTGTTTGTAGGAGAAAGGTGGTATTTTGACATTTTATTAGAGTCTCAATGAGGTCTGCACAAGACAATGCTCTCCTGCCTCCTCGTTTAGCCTGATCTTAATTGGCCATTAGATTGAAAAATAGCCCATACCTCCTCCACCTCCTCCTCTGTGCTCTTCCTCTCCTCTACTCTGCAGCTTCAGAGCTGATTAGACTTTTGATTTACTAATAAACACAGAGAAACAGATTAGCTGCAGAGCGGCGGTGGCAACAGCCAAGCTTTACTGTGCCCGGAATAGGAAACTACCCGCTGCGGCCTCTGAAATGCTTGCTGAAAGCTAGCTAAATTTAGTTTAGTCTTCTAATTTAAAGTGCTCTGATACTAAAATTAACACTGACAACTGGTATCTCTTTGAATAGGGATAAACTGGTCTTCACATCTCATGGAAACGTACAGTTTGGGGGTTTTGGGTTTTTTTTTTTAAACATGACACAATCAAAGTATTTTCTGGAACTTGCAAAGTTTCATTCCCCGATGCCAAGCCATTTTAAGAATATATTAACCTGCTGTTTTGTTTGTTTTGTTTTGTCGCCCTTATCTTCCATAGCTGCAGATGACTATGCTTTGTGCTTTTTCTTTCTACAAAACTCACACTGGCCTCTTATGATAAATAAGACATTACCCACAATGAGAGGAACTCAATCAGCGCTTGTGTTGGCTGAGAGTGAGAAAGACAGGGATAATTACTCACTAAATAGGCAATCACCGAGGTGGCGCCCACACAATCAAGCCTGCATGTGTATTTTGGGGAGCCTTCACAGAAATGCCGGCCAAAAGCCTCAGAAAATGACGAACCAAGCAATAAAGTAGGCAAACAGCAGTCCCATCGGGCTAATACTGTAAGCACGGGTCACAGGTAGGGCTTGAAAGTGTTTTTTAAAGGGCTGTAATTCAGACTGCAAACTCATGTCCGATTGCAAAGCGAGAAGAGACAGTCCTGCATCATGAGTAATGGACGAGCACGTTCCTCTTCATCATTCATTCCAAGCGGCAATTGAGTTTCGGTTGTGTATATTCTGTGTTGGATTTTGTGTTCATTTTCTTCTCCCACACCTTCTGTGAATATATCTGTTTAGTGGCTACATAGGGATTTTCTGGAGTCATAAACTTGACTGATGACTAGACTGACAAAGAAAAAGTGGAGAGCGCAAACTGTATATGGACAAAGCCACAGTGTCATCTGCCAGTTTGGACTTCCATTTCAGAGCTTTGAGTTTGACTTTCTAGCCATCCTGACTGTTTCTATAATGCTCAAGACTGTATTTGAACATACCAGCCAACACTATTGCTCGCTACCTAGCTTTGTTACTAAGGCATATCTATAATTCATTGTAGCATTAAACTGGGTGCTAACTTTGGGGAAGTGGAAGACTGGAAATCAGGCCTTAGATGTATTTATTTCTGCCATAAAGTATGACTTTTTTAGCACAGTTGTGGAGCCAACCTTAAGGAAACTACCACTAATACTAGGAGAAAGACATGCAGGTAGCAGAAGGACTAGGAAATGTTTTAATTTGTTAAGTTTGCTGAATTATTTTGATGAGTCAAGTTCTTTTGAATTGCCTTTTTTGTTTTTGTTTTTAAACAATTTTTTATTTAATTGCTTTGACTGACTAAAAATAAGTTTTGCTGTTGTGTAGATAATAATTGTCTAATTCAGTGCTGTTTCTGTCTACTTGCTCCCAGCTGTGGCAAAATTTTTATCTTACAGACAATTACCATTTTCAATCCTCTTGAAAACCTTAAATGATGATGCATACAAAACTCACAGCTGACTGTGGAGCATTTCAGTACTTCTACCACTTTATTGTCTTTGAAACACAAATTGTTTGTAAGGTAGTTAAACAACTTGATAGTTAGTAATGGTGGCCATAGCTTTTATGAGTCTCAAGTCTCTTTATTTGAACAGACATTGCATATATTTGAACACACTTTAATAAGAGACCTTCCTCTTTTCTGAACTACTCTGCTGTCAGTGCTTTTTGCACTAAATGCAAAGTAAACCTGACACCATGTCTTCCTGCTGTTAAGATGAATTCTCACTAAAAGCCTCCCAGTGACTAAATGACTACAAAGGCACAATCCATCGTCTTTGATGGTCTTTTAATATGAAAAAAAAAAATCTTCAAAAAGAGTTTTCCTTTATATTGACAGCAGCTTAACAGTGATCAAGAAAATGCTCGAATCAGAACCTAGAGGAATGTATTTGAAGATGAAGGCAGACAGTATTTCTCACAACTAAAGATTGGTCAGTATGCTTGAATATGTATCATAAAGATGTGTACATTTCACCGTGTAATATAGAATATTGGAAGTTATAGCTGTTGCCCACAATTTGTGAACATCACCTTTCCTTTCAAAGTGGCCAGAATTTCTTCACTAGTCTTAAATGCTTTAGCTGAGCAGTTTTTAGTCAACTAGTCCAAGCCCAAAAGAACTTCTATAAACGAGGCACTTTTTTTAATAGTTGTTAGATTCTGAAATGGTAAATTGATCCACAAGGCTGTCCTGATGTGTCTTAGAGGGAACACACACACCCGCCCTCTCACGTCATCTATAATTGACTGAGACAGGACTCTTCCAGACACTAAACCAAGGCACAATGTACATTTCAATTCCTTTAATTTTAAATATGTTTATATTGTCTATCCTGTAAAATAGTCAGATATCTATTCATATTAATGTACAGAATTCACCTGCTTGCTGCTACTACTGCACATTCACCCAGTGTATATACTATATATATATATATATATATATATATATATATATATATATATATATATATATATATATATATATATATATATGTTCTTCCTCTACACCCCCCCCCCCCCCCCCCCAATTTTTGCACATGTCAGGCTACATTTCACTGTGTGTTATACTTGTATAACTATGCATGTGACAAATAATAAAGAACCTTGAACCTTGAACCTTTAGCAGAAAGTCCGGTCCGGTGTGGCGTGGGCCATCATCTACCAGGATAGATCACACTGAAAACCTTCATGGTTTGCACTGGCAGACTGTGTGGAGGGAGGACGAGGACCCAGATGCAAGCTGAGCTGTTTGTTTGTGGCTGGTAAAAGGTACAAAACAAAGGCAGATGCACACTGAGGCAAAACTAACTGGGACTAAACTAGGAAAAACTAAATGTTAAACACAAGAGACAAAGAACAACACCTTGATCATTATAAAAACATGGAGGCATGGAAACATAATGAGAACTAAACAGACGATCTGACAGTGAACAAAGGAAGACAGAGGACTTAAATACACAGAAGGGTAATAAGCGAAGTAGAAACACGTGGGGAACACACAAATGAATACGACCCCACAGCAAAACTAAACTCACTGAACATAGAAACACGAGACTCAAAATAAAACAATATAATGAAATATAATGAGATGAAGACTGTGACAACGTGACATGGACAACACAGACATGAAACACATAGCAGACTGGGCAGATGACACACAAGGAGAGGAACATGGAAACAGAGAAGGGGAACAAGACATAACTCGAAAACGACACATAAACAAGGAAGCATGGATTAAACTTTAATTAAACAAAACCTAACTAACACATGCTAATAATAACACTAGAACTTACCATTAGTCTGATACATCATAAGAAATCAGACATACAAAATACACTCAAAATGCTAAAAATGCCAAGTGCCCTGACAGAAAACAGACATGTTTTTGGCAACATCAGCAAAACCTTTGCTCATGTCCTGCCCCAGTTGAAAGATTTGACTCTCTGGAACTTTTCCAAAGGATTACTAAAGGATGTCCATCACCCATCACAGATGCACAAGTACAAGGAGACATAACAGGACTTCTACAGCATGATTAAAAAATAGCACCTGTGTTGAAAATAAAGTCAGCCACAGTCCAATAGCCAAAAACTAAACATTACTAGCTTCATAATCTTGTGATAGGATACAAAATTTTGAAGTATTCATGACCATGACAGATAAACCCAGTTTTCCCATTTGATATTGGCTGACATGAGGTGCACGAGAAGTTGGTATTGAATGTAAAATTGGCTACATTTAGTCATTCGCAAAATTTTTCAGTCATGCATGCTTTTACCCACCTAAACATTGCAGACCAAGAACCCCACAAACCCAAATAACAATCTGCTGTCTCTCTCTCTCTCTCTCTCTCACACACACACAC